TAAAAACTTATTTTTCTATGCTTGTCACCCTTATTTGATTTTAAACTACTCCCAGATGTTGCTTTTTCTTAGAAGGTGACAATATCGACACCCTGCCGCCACGAGTTCTTACCGACCCCTCAATAAAGCAAAAAGCTGTTGTTTAACACTGCCCCTGCGGTTATTAGATTATGATGTATGTTTGGTTCTTTGAATAGAACTTCGTGTTTGATAGGGACCACGCCCTAGAAATTAAGAACTAACAATGATAATAATAAGCATTAATTTAATTTTAATTTTAGTACCACTCTCATTATTAACTGTATTTATGTAAAATTCAGTAACCTATAATGGTTTTTTGCACCTTTTCTGTTATCATACAAGTGACCTTATAATCTAGTAAGTACGTACTTATTGCGCTTCAAGCCATGAGGAAGTTTTACACCAAAAGCGAAATGTCAGTGTGATTATTGATAAATAAAACACTTGTCACCCATTTTTAAGTTGCTAGACTAGTCCTGTTTAAATTAATAGACGGTTTTGAAACAATCACTGTCTTCATACAGTTTAGCGCCTAGGCGGAATTGAAAGTATCGAATTATTCGTAATGGCATATACGATGCATATCTATACATGTGTATGAAAAATAAAAAAACATTGTTATCTACAATAATGTCCACAGCTATTAAAACATGTATAAGTAAAAGATAACCATTTCAAAAATTGCCTATAAATTCCTGTCTTTTGACTTTTTTTCAGTTGTAAATTTGCTGTAGTATAAAATGAAAACTGTTTTTCTATTAATAATGGTTTTAGTTGCTGGTGACCATAGCAATGTTATGGGAGATCATGTTAAGCATTCCAAAAAGACTCCACATACTACCGTATGTAGTTTATAATAAGCGTATTAATAAGCACTAAAAATTTTCAAAAAATAATCTCTCTTCATTATCAATTACAATATGTTTTGTCTAAACATACCTTGTCATACATTTTTTTTTAAGAAATCACTTTTAATGCTTAGATATGACGATAGTAAATTAAATAAAATAAGTCGATAAATGTTCAATAAATTTTTAATAGACTCAAATAATCCAACAAAAAGGTTATCGTGCCGAAACACATACTGTTATCACTGAAGATGGTTACATCCTTACACTTGACAGAATATCTGCTAATAAAGAAGGTATTTCAGGAAAACAACCCGTATTCCTACTGCATGGTGTATTCGATACCAGTTACGTTTGGATAAATAATATAAACACTTCCCTAGGTAATAGATTAGGAACCATAAATAATAACGACTAACAAAAAATTGACATTATTTAGAATATTCTGCTCTTTAAAATCATCTTTTGTTTTCATATTTAATTCAACACACTAAACGTTTCTTCCCTCAATACAAAAGAAATTAAATGAGTAGTACTATAAAACTAAACTAAACAAAACGGGTTGTAGAATCGCATATAGTTTTAACAACCTAAAAGTCGTTTCTACACCTAAAGTGTCATCCTCATAATATTTAAAAAACAAACATATCTTTATGTAGCACAGATACAGTCAGCTTTGTGATGGTAGCACAGACATTTAAATTTCCCTTTTCCTTCTACAATAGACCTAGAGAGTTAATTTTTGGAAAATATGCAGATCGGTATGGCTAATTATGTATTATGTCAAATTTCGAGTTTATTTGTTAACCAGTAAATACTAGTATAAATAATGAGAGTTCCAGTTATTCTTTAAAAATGTAGAACCATTTAAATACAAAATAAATTAAATCTATATAATTATAAAGAAATTGTTTTATGAACAATATTCCTACTGACTTTTTACTATTTATCATAAATTATTTGATTAATAATAATGTATATCTTTTTTTGAACTTTGTATCCTAATAGCAGTGAGTAGCGAGAATGAACTGCATTTGTAATTACCTATCACGTGCTTTCACATGCCTGTTATAGCCTTTTAGTATTGATTACCAAATATTTTTTTATAAAACCTAAAGCCGGTCCCATACGAAATTTCACTAAGCATCAACTGCACAAATAGCAAGACTAATGTATGTCTATACGAAGTGTTGATTAATTGCAAAAATATTTTAGCTTTTTTGTTGTCTGATGAAAATTTTGACGTTTGGATGGGAAACTCTAGAGGAAATCCGTATTCTAACACTCACCTAAAGTACTCTCCATTAAGTCCACAATATTGGAATTTTAGGTAGTGTATGGTATACAGATATGTATATGGTAATCCATAAACCACCAATTTTCCCAAGCTGTTACATTATCAATGTAATAAAGTTTTTCTGAAATTTTTAGTTTTCATGAAATGGGTGTTTACGATCTACCTGCTTGCATAGATTATATATTAAATGTAACAAATGCTAGCGACACCATATACTACGTTGGCCATTCTCAAGGTGGTTCTGTTTTTTATGTGTATGCCTCAACGTTTCCCGAAATGGCTGTAAAAAAATTTAAAATTGCCGTTACATTGGCACCTGCTGTCTTTTTAGGACATGCGAATGAATTAACGAGATTATCATCAACACTCCTGACTGGCAATAAGGTAGGTTTCCATCATTCACATGCTTTTCATTCACAAATCCTTAAGATTTTACAAGGTATCGCTTTCAAGTTTTCTTGAGAAGGCTTTTCTGCTAATGTTACAATAAAAATTAGACACCTTCTGCAATTACTTCCTTATTCCCAAATCATTCCAATATTACATCATTTTAATAATGCAACATTACGTTCCTGGCCAGCAATTTATGGAGACTATCACATACAGATGACTATTTAAATTTTATTAGTTCTCATCAGCACCACACATCATCATTATAAGTTCGTCAGTCCTAAGACTAGTTGGNCTAAACTTCGCATTTCCCTAAAACTAGAACAACCCATATCCTTAACTATTTGCGAACAGTAATCTAATCTAGGTCTACCTCTACTCCTCTTAACTTCTACTTCTGCCTCTAATAAGTCTCTGACTAGAACTTCATGCCTGAGATGGTGTCCTACCAACCTATCTCGCCTATTTTTTATTGACTTCCATAGAGTCCTCTGTTCTACTCTTTCTAATACCTTTTCATTTCTAACCTTCTCTATCCACGGGATCCTCATCCATTTCGAACGCTTGTAACCATTTCTTTCCGCCGCGCCCACTGTCCATGTTTCACACCGTACAGTGCCGTACTCCAAACATACACCTTCAACATGTTTTTTCGAATTTCTAAATTAAGCGTTTGCGAGCATAGAAGTTACTTCTTTTTATTGAAGGCGACGCGACTCTGCGCTATCCTCTGCTTTATATCCCTACTAGTCCTTCCGTCCTGACTTATCTGACATACTAGATACCTAAAATCGGCCACTTCTATAAATTACCTGTCAAATTAACACTTCCCTGTAAATACCAGTCGACGGCCATAGGTATATTACCAATAATTTGATATTATATCAACTCCTTTCCAGAGAGTAATTTCGGTTTGATCCATGTCCAGTAGACCTCATAAAATAAATTACTAATCAAAAAAATAATATTTATAAGTAACTTGAAATCCTGCAGAAATTTTTAAATAAATTATTGAAAATTTAAACGCCTTCCCTTATTTCCCTCTTGGAATTTCCATTAACGATAAACAATACTCATTTGTCAAGTGATTTTTACTATAATAATTATCTCATATCGTATCTTTCAGTGGCTGCTTAATCCGTCGAGAGTAACACACATCAATTTATCAAACATGTACCAGTTTGTTACACGTGATTGTGATGATTCGCCCCTTGCTACACCATTTTGCAAGACATTAATAGAAGTAAATGCTGGATTTGATGGGTATTAAAAAATACCAAATTCATAACATAACTTCGGTGTAATATGGCAATTTAACGTGTCCACGTGTTATAGGATGTCATTCAACCATTGTTTGGGCACCCATCTGTCAATGTTTCGATAAAGACTGGAATTCATTACGGACAGCTGTTTAGAACTGACGAATTTCAAAAGTATGACTACGGTCCACATGGAAATTTAAAGGCGTATGGCATTCGTAAAACACCATCGTACAGCCTTTC